CCAGTATGAATAATATGAATTTCATAAAAATAAAGATTGAGGGACTTCCCTGGTGGTCCAGGGGCTGAGACTCCAAGCTCCCAGTGCAGGTGCCCAGGTGGGATCCTTGGTCGGGGAGCTGGATCTCATAGGTCACAACACAGATGACAGATCCTGTGGGCTGCAACTAAGACTTGGCACAGCCAACTAAATAAATGAACAAATTAAATATAAATAAATATTTTCAAAATTGATAAAAATAGGAGAAAAGACTTACAGAAATAAAAGAGATGACTTCTCAGGATTGAAAGAGAAAGGGGCTCCATAATGTCCTACAGGAAGATAAGGACAAGCCCATTTTAGATACATAAAACGACATTTTAAAATAGAGGACAGTGAGGGCTTCAGCTGTTGCTCAGTGGTTAAGAATCCACTTGCCAATGCAGGAGATACAGGTTCGACCCCTGGTCAGGGAGGATCCCACATGCCTTGGAGCAACTCTGCCCGTGCACCACGACTAGTGAGCCTGTGCTCGAGAGCCTGAGAGCTGCAGCTGCTGAAGCCCGTGTGCCCCAGAGCCTGCGCTCTGCAACAAGATGCGCTGCCGCAACCAGAAGACCACGTCTGCAGCAGGGAGCAGCCTCTGCTCACCACAGCTAGAGAAGAGCCTGTGCACCCATGAAACTCAGCACAGCCAGCAATAAAAATAAAGAAATAAAGAACATTAAAAGTAGCAGAAAAAGGAGAAAATCCTAAAAGATTCTGGACAGACGGACATCAGATTTCCTAACGTCAACACTGGATGCAGAGAGACATTGAGATAATATTACTTAAAATATTAAAGAGAAAAAAGTCAAACAGAATTTAATACATCAGCTAAATGTTATTCAAAGTGATAGTATAATACAAAATGTTCTCAGGCACAGAAAGCTTCAGAAGGTTTGCCACACAAGTATTCATGTTTAAAATACTTTGGGAGGAAGTATTCCAATGAGATAAAATGTCAGGAGGTGCCAAAAAGATATGGGAAGTAAGGCTGATCAGAAACGCTGGTGAAGGAGTATTTGAATGTATTTGAAAGTATGCTCAGGTGCTTACCTGGTTAGGGGGAAGAAAGGGGAGGTATAGACAACAGTTTTTTTTTTTTATGCTTTTTTATTTTATTAAAAAAAGTTTTTTTCCCAATTATTTTTATTAGTTCAAGGCTAATTACTTTACAATATTGTAGTGGTTTTTGCCATACATTGACATGAATCAGCCATGGATTTACATGTGTTCCCCATCCTGAACCCCCCTCCCACCTCCCTTCCTAGACAACACTTAAAAAAAAAGATGGAATGTATGTACCCCAATGTTCATTGCCACACTATTTACAATAGCGAGGGCATGGAAGCAACTTAAATGTCCATCAATGGATAAATGGATAAAGAAGATGTGATATGTATGTGTGTGTGTATACACAATGGAATGATAGCCATAAAAAATGAAATTATATCATTTACAGCAACATGGATGGGCCTAGAGATTGTCATACTGAGTGAAGTAAGTCAGACAAATATGTGATATTGCTTGTATGTGGAATCTTAAAAAAATGGTAGAAAAGAACTTATTTATAAGGCAGAAGTAGAGTCACAGATGTAGAAAACAATCTTACAGATACCAAGGGAGAAACAGGGAGGATAAATCGGGAAACTGAGATTGATAAATACACACCATTACATATAAAATATACGACTAATAAGGACCTACTCTATAGCACAGGGAACTCTGTTCAATACTCTGTAATGACCTATTTGGGAAAAGAATCTGAAAAGAGTGAATATACGTACATGTATGACTGCTTCACTTTGTTTTACAGCAGAAATAAACACAACATTGTAAATCAACTATACTTCAATTAAATATTTAAAAATAGAGATGATGAAGACTAAAAAAGGAAAAACTAGAAATATTGAAATAAATACAGTATTAGAAACAAGTCCAAATACAGCAATAATCACAATAAGTACAGCTGAAATGGGGCAAAGACAGTGTATGTGTTCACCCAACCATTATATTTTCCTGAACACACAGCTGAACTATATTTTCCCAGCCCCCTTGCACTCTGACAGGGTGATTTTTTAATTAGTGCCAGTGGAAGGTGAGTAGACTTCTGGTCCAGAGACACAAGAGCAGATGCACCTTCCTGAGGCCCTCTCCTGTCTGCAAAGCTGGAAGCAAAGGGCTTTTCAACAGTGAGATGTCAGAGGAAGCCAGCCTGGGTTCATGAGGCACTTTTTAAGAAATGCTATAGATAGCTTCCTTTGGGGCTCAGACGGTAATCTGCCTGCAATGCGGGAGACCCAGGTTCAATTCCTGGGTCTGGAAGATCCCCTGGAGAAGGGAATAGCAATCCACTGCAGTACTCTTGCCTGGAGAATTCCATGGACAGAGGAGCCTGGCGGGCTACCGTCCTCAGGGTCAGAAAGAGTTGGACACGACTGACTGGCTACACTCTCACTTTCATACATACAGAATGTCTCACCTGCCTTGAACAGCAAGCACATGGGTTAAAAATAAACTCATATTTTGTCAAACCACGGATGTTTCTGTGTTTTTCTGTCGCAAAAGTAAGTTTGCTCACTTTGACTAATAATATATGAATTGAATCACCAATTAGAAGGCAGAGACTGTCAGACTGGAAAACCCAAAACCTATACGATATTTAGGACAGCTGCATCCAAAAGGGTAAAAACTGAAGGATAGAAACAGATGTATCAAACAAATGCTAATAAAAAGAGAGCTGTGTAGTGTATCAGTATCAGACAGGACAGACTTTAAGACAGAAAGGTTGCCAGTACATATTGGGAAACAGTTCGATTCACGAGAACACTATACTTCCCAAAAGTAAGCATTTAATAGTCTAAACATAAACAGGGCAGAAATGATTCCCCAAATAGAAACAAATAGAAAAATCTACAGCCACAGGTAGAGATTTAAATACACCACTCTTAGCTATTAACAGATCAGCCTCCAAATGAGGAAAGATATGATAGATTACAATAACAAAATCAACACTCCTGGTCCAATAACATTTACAAATTCTGCACCCAACAAGGAGAGCGCGTGTGAAGTGCTGACAAAAAGTGACTACACTACAAGCCATAAAGCAAGTTTCAGTAAATTTCTAAGATGCATCAGAGTGACAAGATTCTTAGATTATAAAGTCATTAAATTAGAAAATAAGAACAAAACTCTTATGCTTGTCAATCTTCACATATTTAGAAATAAAAAGCATTCAACACACAACTGCTATAAAAATAAAGAAGCAGCATTCTTTATCACAAGCATTCCTGGATTTGACAGTCTATCGTCTCACTGTTTCAAGGTTCTAACTCTTAAGGAGAAAGGCAGGGCAGGACCACTGTTCACACAAAAATATCTATTGGGCATCACTATGTGCGAGGCATTATTCTAGATCCTGGGGAATGGAAACAAAAAGAACTAAGGTTAGGGTTCCCCATAGCCTGTGTCACCAAAATCCATTAGTCCTCTTGGTTTGGTGAATTTGAAGTCAGAAGTCTATCTACTCCACTAGGTGTAGAAAAGAACATCAGAGTAGGCATTTGTCTGTGCCAGAAAGCAGTCCATAGACCTGTTGCCCAAGAATCACATAGGGAGCACGCGAAACACACAGGTCCCCTGGCCTACTTGTGGAAAGGCTACTTTAAGTCAGGTCAGGATGGAACCTAGGAATTTGTATTTTTAACACACTCCACGGCTGATTCTCCGGTGTGGTCAGGTTTGGAAACAGATGATTTCTCAGATCCCTTCCAAGTTGAAAATTATTTATTTCATCATTTTTGACACATTGCCTTCAGATATTTGGTTAGATTTCTATTTACCAGGATAGAGAATTAACTTTATATATGGTTTACATTAGACTAAATTCTGCCAATGCCTCCCATTGTGTGTGTGTGTATGATCAGTCGTGTTTGACTCTTTGCAACCCCATAGATTGTAGCCTGCCAGGCTCCTCTGTCCATGGAATTTTCAAGACAAGGATACTGGAGTGTGTTGCCATTTCCTTCTCCAGGGGATCTTCCCCACCCAGGGATCGAACCCGAGTCTCTTGCATCTTCTGCACTGGCAGGCAGATTCTTTGCCAATGTGCCACCTGGGCACCACATGCCTCCCTTTGGCTGAGCCCAGTTAAAAGCCAAAAATAAGGGTGATTTGGTCCATACAGGTCAACCTTCAGTCTGAGACGGGGGCACAGGGGACCTGGGCGAACTCATAGAGGCCACCCAGCACTCTCTGCCCTCCTCAGAACAGCCTGTTGGAGTTCTTTTTTGCTTTAAATATCTCTAACAATGATACATTTTCCCTCACATAACGAAATAAAGTAATAATTTTAAACATGATTTAAAGCCTATAAATATTTTTTTCTACTGAGTATCCAACATTTCCCTTTTAAAATTTCTCAGTAATTCTTTTTTTTCTTGGCTGTGCTGGGTGGCTTGTGGGATCTTCGTTTCCCTGCCAGGGATCGGACCCACGTCCCCTGCAGTGGGGAGTTCAGTCTTAACCACTGGGCCGCCAAGGAACCCCCATATTTATTCTATTTTTCAACTCCAAATTGGTCCACAAAAACTTACCAGATAGGTAGGAGCCCCTACCCCACGGATCAAAGAGGATTTGCGCTCAGATGGCCTTCTCTCTGCCTTCAGAGGGTACCCCCCTGGAGGATGTAGGAGCCGTGGGTCTCAGCCCCTCCCACCGCTCCTGACTTTCCTGTGGACGAGCCTCCTCGGGGCACGTGGGCCCAGTTACACTCTTCCATCTTCTCACCCAGGCGCTTTCCTCCGCATCTTCCCCCAGCAACAGCTACCCCAACTGAGGGAATTTCCCTGATTGGCTGACACAGCAGGGGGCTCCCCACCCCACCCCAGAATCTGTTTTCTTCCTCTTTACCTCCACCTTCTTCCCTTAACCCCGACACCAAGCCAGCGGGACTCATCTGGTTAAAGCACCAGAGGGCAATGGTCCTCAGGGGGAGGCTGGTCCTGGGACTGCACACCTTGATGACCCTCCTGAGCCCTGGGGAAGTTGGGGCCATCAAGGGTGAGTGCTGAGAGCGCTGGGTGAGGAGAGGCGATGACGGGCGCGGGGTTACCCTTGAGATGGTACAGAGCGTGAGCGGTTCCTCTCCGCTGGCTTATGGCGACTTCCTTGCCAAGAGACTCCCCATCCCTCTCACCTCTGTCCGGTCTGTCCTGGACCTAAAATACAGGCTCAGCCTGGCCACACCAGCCATGCTCTGGTGCCTCCTGTTCCTCCCTCCGTCCTCTCGTTTTTTAGATTTTTTTTTTAATGTGGACCGTTTTTAAAGTCTTCAATGAATTTGTCACAACATTGCTTCTGTTTAATGTTTTTGTTTTTTGGCTGTGAGACATGTAGGCTCTTAGCTCCCCCGTGGCCAGGGATCGAACTTGTAACCCCGCCCTGAAAGGTGAAGTCTTAACCACTGGACCACCAAGGAAGTCCCCTGCCCCCTCTCTGAGACCCAAACCGCCATCTTGCTGCCCAGCGTCCTGATGGATTTAAAACACCTTTTATTTATTTATTTTATTTGGTTGTGCTGGGTCTTCACTGCTGTGCATAGGCTTTCTCTAGCTGCAGCAAGCCAGGCTGCCCTCTAGCTGCGGGGCCCCGGCTGCCCTTGTTGTGGAGCACAGGCTCGAGGGTGCCCAGGCTCGGCAGCTGCAGTGTGCAGGCTTAGCTGCTCCATGGCATGGAATTTCCCCAGACCGGGGATCGAACCCGTGTCCCCTGCATTGGCCGGTGGATTCTTATCCACTGTGCAACCAAGGAACACCATCTTTTTTTTTTTTAATTTATATTTTTAAAATTTTGTGACCAAGATGCTCAGCATGTGCGATCTTAGTTCCCTGACCAAGGATCAAACCTGCCTCCCCTGCACTGGAAGCATGGAGTCTTTTTATTTTTGGAAGCATGTAGTCTTAACCACTGGACTGCCAAGGAAGTCCCAGCATCCTGATTTCTGTAGAACTTCCTGGTTTGAAATGTGCCCATTCACCTCCAGTTCTAGTACCATATTTTTTTACCAGGTCAACAGAGAAATGTTCATGTCTTTATCCTGCTCTGTTCATGAGCTCCTTGTCTGCAGGGTCCACAGCTGGTTTGTCTGTATTCCCTTGGGGCCTGGTATCGTGCTGACCACACGCTAGTTTCTCATGACTGCTGTGCAATTTATTTCATAGGATTATCAAGCCATCTTATCCACAGTCACCTAAACCCTAATTTCTAGAAAGCTGAGCCTCATTCATGTTAAGAGACACATTTGATCATAATGCTCTGAGCAGAAGAGATGGGACAGAACTTTGAACTTCGAATTCCTTTTCCACTGCTCTCTGCAATACCTTGGGCTGCCTTTTCCTATCCTTCTGGCCTCAGGGTCACAAATCTTGATTCTTATTCCTGACACACAAATCTTGATTCTTATTCCTGACAGCCATCTCCTGTTTTCCCTCACACCCACTTACACTGCATCTCTGTGCCCACAGTTCCTTGGATGCTCTTTTTTTTTTTTTTTAATTGAAGGATAATTCAGTGCAGTGCAGTTGCTCAGTTGAAGGATTATTGCTTTACAGAATTTTGTGGTTTTCTGTCATACATCAACAAGAACCAGCCATAGGTACACCCATGTCCCCTCCCTTCTGAAACCCCCTCCCACCTCTCTCCCCATCCCACCCTTCTAGATTGTCACAGAGCCCCTGCTTGAGTTCCTTGAGTCATAGAGCAAATCCCCCCTGGCCATGTGTTTTACATATGCTGTTTTGGGTTTCCATGTTATCCTCTCCGTATACCTCACCCTCTCCCTCCTCCTCCCCGTGTCCATGGGCCTGGTCTCTCTGTTTCTCCATTGCTGCCCTGAAAATAAAGCTATCAGTACCATCTTCTTAGAGTCCATATACACGCATCAATATGCAATATTTATATTTCTCTTTCTGACTTACTTCACTCTGTATAAGAGGCTCTAGGTTGGTCCACCTCTTTAGAACTGACTCACATATGTTCCTTTTTATGGCTGAGTAATATTCCATTGTGTATATGTGTATATGTACCACAACTTCTTTATCCATTCATCTGCCAATGGGCATCTAGGTCGAGTCCATGTTCTAGCTATTGTAAATAGTGCTGCAATGAACATTAGGATACATGTGTCTTTTTCAATTTTGGTTTCCTCAGGGTATATGCCTAGGAGTGGGATTGATGGGTTATATGGTGGTTTTATTCCTAGTTTTTAAAGGAATCTCCGTGCCGTCTTCCATAGTGGCTGTATCAATTTACATTCCCACCAACAATGCAAGAGTGTTCCCTTTTCTCCACACCCTCTCCAGCATTTATTGTTTGTAGACTTTTTGATGATGGCCATTCTGACTGGTGTGAGGTGATATCTCATTGTGGTTTTGATTTGCATTCTCTAATAATGAGGAATGTTGAGCATCTTTTCATGTGTTTGTTGGCCATCTGTATGTCTTCTTTGGATAAATGTCTATTTAGGTCTTTTTTCCCCACTTTTTGATTGGGTTGTTTGTTTTTCTGGTATTGAGTTGTATGAGCTGCTTGTATATTTTGGAAATTAATTATTTGTCAGTTGTTTCACTTGCTATTTTTTTCTCCCATTCTGAGGGCTGTCTCTTCACCTTGTTTGTAGTTTCCTTTGCTGTGAAAAAGCTTTTATGTTTAATCAGGTCCCATTTGTTTATTTTTATTTCCATTACTCTAGGAGGTGGGTCATGGATGATCTTGCTTTGATTTATATCATTGAGTGTTCTGCCTATATTTTCCTCTAAGAGTTTTATAGCTTCTGGTCTTACATTTGTGCTTTTAATCCATTTTGAGTTTATCTTTGTGTATGGTGTTAGGAAGTGTTGTAATTTCATTCTTTTGCACGTAGCTGTCCAGTTTTCCCAGCACCACTTATTGAAGAGGCTATCTTTGCCCCATTGTATATTCTTCCCTCCTTTTTAAAAAATAAGGTACCCATAGGTACGTGGGTTTTCTCTCTGTGCTTTCTATGTTGTTCCACTGGTCTATATTTCTGTTTTTGTGCCAGTACCATACTGTCTTGATGACTGTAGCTTTGTAGTATAGTCTGAAGTCAGTAAGATTGATTCTTCCAACTTCATTCTTCTTTCTTGAGAGTACTTTGGCTATTTGGGGTCTTTTATGTCTCTATACAAATTTTGAGATTTTTTTTTTGTTCTAGTTCTGTGAAAAATGCCATTGGTAATTTGATAGGCATTGGATTGAATCTGTAGATTGCAGTTGGTAGGATAGTCATTTTTACAATATTGAATCTTCCTACCCAGGAACACGAAGTATCTCTCCATCTGTTTATGCCATCTTTGATTTCTTTCATCAGTGTCTTATAATTTTCCATATACAGTTCTTTTGTCTCCTTAGGTAGGTTTATTCCTAGATATTTTGTTCTTTTTGTTGGAATGGTGAATGGGATTGATTCCTTAATTTCTCTTTCTGATTTTTTCATTGTTAGTATATAGAAATGCAACTGATTTCTGTGTATTGACCTTGTATCCCACGACTTTGCTGAATTCACTGATTAGCTCTAATAGTTTCTTTTGGGTTTCCCATGTATAGTATTATGTCATCTGCAAACAGTGAGAGTTTTACTTCTTTTCTGGTCTGGATTCCTTTTATTTCTTTTTCTTCTCCAATTGCTGTAGCTAGAACTTCCAAAACTATGTTGAATACTAGTGGTGAGAGAGGACACACTCACATTGTTCCTGATCTTAGGGGGAATGCTTTTAGTTTTTCACCATTGAGAATAATGTTTGCTGTGGACTTTTCATATATGGCCTTTGCTATGTTGAGGTACAGTCCTTCTATGCCCATTTTTTGAAGAGTTTTTGTCACAAATATGTGCTGAATTTTGTCAAAAGCTTTTTCTGCATCTATTGAGATGATCATATGGTTTTTATCTTTCAGTTTGTTAATATGGTGTATCACGTGTATCACACTGATTGATTTGCATTTATTGAAGAATCCTTGCATTCCATGGGTGCTCTTAACCTCAGTTAGTTTCTCCTCATCCCACCCTTACTCTTCTCATCTCACAAGACCCCACTGGGACCGGCAATCAGAGTCAAGATTTAACTCTGGGGTCACAGGCCTGAGTTTAGGTGGCCTCTCTTCTTCCAGCCCAGTGTGCCGGGCTGACCCCTTGCCTCTGTGCTGGCCAGTCCCTCCATCCGCTCCCTTCCAACCCTCAGCAACTCCTCTGCTCCCCAGGGACCAGCTCAGTGTCAGAACAGGACTCTTGATGGGGCACGGCTCAGAGACTCAACCCATCGCACCTGATGGATGAGAGCTTGTACCTTTTCCTTTCTCCCCTGACCCTGAACTCACCCAACACAGCTGACCACATGGGCTCCTACGGACCAGCCTTCTACCAGTCCTATGATGGTGCAGGTCAGTTCACCTATGATTTCGATGGAGAACAGCTGTTCTCTGTGGACCTGAAGAAGCGGGAGGCTGTGTGGCGTCTGCCTGAATTTGGCAACTTCGCCTACTTTGACCCGCAGAACGGGCTGTTCAGTATCGCGATGATCAAAGCGCATCTGGAGGACTTGGTGGAGCGCTCCAACCGCACCAGAGCCCCCAACGGTACTGGGCCTTTCCCCTGCCCGCCCCCCAGGCTCCCAGCAAGCAGAGGAGGTCCAGAGAAGCCTCCACCCCACCCCTCAGTATTCCGTTGGCTCCCCGGCCCCACTCTCAATATCTGAGACTGTTGTTCTCAACCCTTTTCTTTCCCAGGAGGTTCTAGATCTCCTCAGATTCCTTTAACAGCCTCTTCTTCTAGGAATGACCCCTCCCACCTGGCAGATACGGCTCACCTCACCCTGGGCCGCCCCACCCTGCCCCTTCAGTCTCCTGTCCCTCTGTCCCCGCTTCTGCTTCAGTGTCCCCAGCCCAGAGCATCCACTGCTCTCAGAAGGCAAATACCAGGAAGCACCCCTCCATCCATCCCTGACGAGGCCCCAGCTGGAGGCCTGTACCTGTGGGATTCAAGGCCTGCTTCCTCCTAGTGCCCCCCAGAGTGGCCGTGCTGCCCAAGTCTCGCGTGCAGCTGGGCCAGCCCAACGTCCTCATCTGCATTGTGGACAACATCTTCCCCCCGGTCATCAACGTCAGCTGGCTGCGCAACGGCCAGCCCGTCACCCAGGGCGTGACCCAGACCGGCTTCTACGCCCAGCCTGACCACTCGTTCCGCAAGTTTCACTACTTGACCTTTGTGCCCTTGGCGGACGACTTCTATGACTGCAAGGTGGAGCACTGGGGCCTGGACCAGCCGCTCTTTCAGCACTGGGGTATGCAGCCCCCTCCTGGCCACCCGCCTCAGACCTGTGCATCCTTCACCCTGAGTCCCTCTGCGGGACCCCCTGACCCTCCCTTTCTCTCCCAGAGCCCCAGGTGCCCACCCCGCTGCCTGACACCACAGGGACTCTAGTCTGTGCCCTCGGCCTGGCCCTCGGCCTGGGGGGCTTCCTCGTGGGCATCACCCTCATCATCACAGGCACGTGCCTGTCCAGCACCCCCAGGTGCACCAGGGGTCTGGGGGGAGGAAGGTGGGGACTCTGCACAGGATGGGGGTGGAGGATGAGAGATTCGGGGAGGGGGGCAGGAATGAGCAGAGGGGAGGCGAGGGGGTCAGGTTTGAGGGAGGTGGGCAGAGGAAGGACCCAGCATTGTGAGCTTGAACCTTGACCATGTGGTTTTTGCTACTTTAGGTGATGGCCCTTCTGAGAGAAACCAGTGTGAGACACCACTCAGCTTCCTGGCAAGTTTCTGACGGCCCTTGCCTGCTCAGTGCCAGACTCCACCAAGTTCATCATGCTGACTTTGAATGGGATCAACCCCTGTCCTATAAGTCTCCTCCTTTTTGGCCCCCATACTCATGGCAGGGATTTGGGAACCAACGAGCTCCCTTTCCCAGCCCCAACACACACACACATACACTTTATTGGCCTACCCAAAGCCCTGGCCAGCAGCAGTAAACTTTTAAACAATGTTTGCACAGTGTCCATCTTCCCAGGCCTTAGCCAATTCTCTAAGGGGGTAAGGGACGCTAGGGGGCCTCCAGGAGGCTCAGTGAGTGAAGAATCTGCCTGCAGTACAGGAGGCCTGGGTTTGATCCCTGGATCGGGGAGACCTCCCGGAGAAGGGCATGGCAACCCTCTCCAGTATTCTTGCCTGGAGAATCCCCGTGGAAGGGGCCTGGTGGGCTACAGTCCATAGGGTCACAAAGAGTCGGATATGACTGAAGGGATTGAGCAAAGGACTCTAGGGTCTGGAAGAGGGGATTTCTGGTGATGGCCATTGAGCATGACCTGCTACTGGGGACTGGCATTCATTCACGGGCCAGTCTAGCTATGTCCTGTTCCATCTGACTCATCAGTGTGGGGCCCCTTGTGGGTCACTTGTGAATGGACCATTTCACATGGATGTCATGAAATTTATATCCTGAATTCAGATTTGCCCCCAAAGGGATGCAGAGTATTCTATTCTTTGTAACTCCCCCAACCGATGACAGTTCTGAAGGACGCCAGGCGAGGGGACATTCACAGAAATTTCACTCTTACCAAGATTTACCTTCATGAAGAGGCCATTGGTATCCAGCTGTGGCCTAGACGCCATCTCCTTTTCTGGCATTCGATAGCATTCCATGCATGACAAATAGCAGCCAAGGCTTGGGTAGGATGGCCACATCCTCCGTCTGAGGTCCATCACATCAGGTAGGCGGGTAGAGAGTAGTGATCTACTACCTTTCAAGGTAGCTGTGAGAAGGGAGGTCTAGGAGAGATCCATCTGAATCCTCTCTAAATCTGTGGCCTAGGGCTTCCCAGGTGGCACTAGTGGTAAAAAAACGTAGCTGCATAATATAGGAGACATAAGAGATGCAGGTCCAATCCCTGGTTCCGGAAGATTCCCAGGAGGAGGGCATGGCAATCCACTCCAGGGTTCTTGCCTGGAGAATTTCATGGACAGAGGAGCTTGGCAGGCTACGGTCCACAGGATCGCAAAGAGTCAGACACGACTGAAGCAACAGTATGCATGTAGAAAGTTTTAGTTTACTATGAACAAAATTTAAAATACACCCAAAGCAATAGCTAACTCTACAAAGTAGTTTATGAAGTGAAGTGAAAGTCAATCAGTCGTGTCTGTCTCTTTGCCATCCCATGGACTATACAATTCATGGAATTCTCCAGGCAAGAATACTGGAGTGGGTAGCCTTTCCCTTCCCCAGGGGATCTTCCCAACCCAGGGATTGAACCCGGGTCTCCCACTTTGCAGGCAGATTCTTTACCAGCTGAGCCACAAGGGAAGCCCAAGAATACTGGAGTGGGTAGCCTATCCCTTCTCCAGCGGATCTTCCCAACCCAGGAATCAAACCGGGGTCTCCTTCATTGCAGGCAGATTCTTTACCAACTGAGCTATTATATCAGGTACCAAATGAGTGGTACAGATTGGTGGTTTTTCAAACTGAATACACAGAAGAATCACTTGGGAGCCTTTTGATGAGCACAGGCTACTCCCAGATCTACTGAATGAGTGTCTCTAGGGTGGAGAGAGTGGTGACAGGGACTCTGTAATTTTGAACAGGCTCCAGATGGCGCTGACGAAGCTGTTCTGGCCCCAGACTGGGGTCTGGGAACGGAGACTGGCTGGTGCCATCGGAGGTCGTCAGAAAGGGGATCCCTGAGGTCTGAGTGATTCAGGAAGACTTTCTGGAAAAGCTGGGCCTTTTACGGCATAGAAGTCGAGCAAGGGACTTCCCTGGTGGTCTCGTGGTTAAGACTGTGCCCTTCCAACGCAGGGGATGTGGGTTTGATCCCTGGTTGGGGAACTAAGCTGTCACGTGCCAGGTGGCACAGCCCTCTTCCAAAAAAGAAGCTGAGCGTAATACAGGTATGTAGGGGCAAGAGAGGATTTGGGATTGTGAGCGTTTTGTCCTGGAAAAGAAAGAAACCAAGAGATTATGGGGACTCCGTGGACTTCCCGGGAGAGCGTGAGGTGGGGAAACAAAGGCCAGAAGAGGACTTGTGTGGGAGTGAGGGAGGGTTGTCCCAGGCGTGATTTTTGTTTGCCCGTCAGTCACGGAAACTCTATTAGAATAACTACAGACAGAAGAAGGGGTATTTACTATAAAGACGCCGGAGTGGTGCCCAGAACCCAAGGGTGGGTTTGAGTCAGGCCCGCAGGGGGCAGAACTCAGAACTGAAGAGGCCGCAGAGCCCAGCGCCCGGCCCTCTCTGGCCACGAGCCCTGCTCTCTAGGTTCCTGGGCGCATCCGCCGTGTTCTCTCGGTGAGGACTGACTGTCCTTTTCAGCCGACCTGTCGATCCCGTGGGTCCTGTGTGTGTATGTCCCCTCGGCTCTAGCCGCCCACGGAGACTGTGTCTCTCAGTCACAATTTAAAGTTTTTGAAAAAACAAACGATTCCCCAAACTTAGGGAAAGTGTCCACGCCGGCCCAAGGCGATCAGATCCCATGGTACAAACATGATGGCTGGCGCCCACCTCTGGGGTGAGGAGTCGGGTTGTTCTCAGAGAAAGAAGAGGGTCTCGGAAGACACCGTGAGAGATGTCTGTCTCCATCGCGCCCTATCTCTGTTGATCTTTTACTTAAAACTTGATGCATCCTTGGAAAAGTGTTTCTCTGCTCTCTGTCCTAATGTTTAATAAAGTTGTTAAAATTTCCTCTTTTGAACAGACAGGTGGCCGCCAAGGGGGCATGTGTTTGGGGGAGGATGGAGTGGGAGACTGGGGTCAGCAGATGTGAGCTTTTATATATGGACATGGCACAAGGCGTGATACTCAATTTTTGTTGTTGTTCAGTTGCTCAGTTGTGTCTGACTCTGCAACCCCATGGACTGCAGCACGCCAGGCCTCCCTGTCCATCACCATCTCCTGGAGCTTACTCAAACTCATGTCCATCGAGTCAGTGACGCCATCCAGCCATCTCATCCTCTGTCGTCCCCTTCTCCTCCCACCTTCAATCTTTCCTAGCATCAGGGTCAGCTCTTCACATCAGGTGGCCAAAGTATTGGAGTTTTAGCTTCAGCATCAGTCCCTCCAATGAACACCCAGGACTGATTTCCTTTAGGATGGACTGGTTTGATCTCCGTGCTATCCTAGGGATTCTCGAGAGTCCCTATCCTGAGACAAACTATAGTGGAAAAGAATATGTAAAAATGTGTGTGTGTGTGTGTGTGTGTGTGTGTGTAACTGAAGCACGTTTCTGTACAGCAGTAGTTAAAGAAACAGTAAATCAGCTGTACTTGAATTTTTTTTTGTTTCATATTTTGACCAGAAGTGTGCTTTTCTTCCCTATGCCTATATTACCCAGAAGTCACTAGAAGCAATTTGGAAGGAATATGTAGCAATTCTCAATCTCTTAGATTTATGTATTTGCCCTTACACTCACATTTTTTTTTTCCTAGTCTCAAAGTCTTTCTATTCTGGTCTCTTAAGAAAAATTGTTATGCATATTTGATCTGACTTCCGTCTCTTTTAGAGTAGATAGGCAACTTCTTTTCTGTATTTTCAAACTCTCCCCCTTTGCAGGGTTCCCCTCCACACGTAATAAAAATACCATCGCTTTCATATATTGAGAACAGGAAACCTCCTTTCTGTCTTGTAACCCCCACCCCACATTGCAAGCTCCTCTCAGTCACTCTCTCTGCAGAATTCTGCACCAGCTGCCTCCACATCTCCTCTTCTGATGAATTTTCTTTCTTAAAATTTTAATTTTTAACAAAGTAAGTTTATCCCCATAGTTTAGAGAGTCCAATAGTTCTACCAGATTTGCTTGAAAAAGTTCTAGTCACTGTCTGCCTTCCGATCCTGTTCTTGCCCCCAGAGCTGATTAGTGAAAGTGAAAGTTGCTCAGTTGTGTCCCACTCTTTGTGACCCCATGGGCTATACAGTCCAAGGAATTCTCCAGGCCAGAGTACTGCAGTGGATAGCTGTTCCCTTCTCCAGGGGATCTTCCCAACCCAGGGATCAAACCCAGGTCTCCCACATGGCTGGTGGATTCTTTACCAGCTGAGCCACAAGGGAAGCCCAAGAATACTGGAGCGGGTAGCCTCTCCCATCTCCAGCGGATCTACCTGACCCAGGAATCAAACCGGGGTCTCCTGCATTGCAGGCAGATTCTTTACCAACTGATATATGAGGGAAGCCCAGAGTTGAAAGCTTTCAACTTAAAAAAAAAATTTCTTTACTTCTTTTTTTATTTGGCTGCATCAGATCTCAGTTGTGGTGTGCTGGCTCAGTAGCTGTGGCCCTTGTGGAATGTGGAATATTAGTTCTCCGACCAGGGATCCGACCTACATACCCCACACTGAGGGAGATTCTCAACCACTGGACCACAAGTCCTTTTCAACTGTTTTTTGTTTTTTTTTTTTTAGTATTTTTTTTCCATTTATTTTATTAGTTGGAGGCTAATTACTTTACAATATTGTAGTGGTTTTTGCCATACATTGACATGAATCAGCCATGGATTTACATGTGTTCCCCATCCTGAATCCCCCTCCCACCTCCCTCCCCATCCCATCCCTCTGGGTCATCCCAGTGCACCAGCCCCCAGCACTTGTCTCATACATCCATTCTGGGCTGGCGATCTGTTTCACCCTTGATAATATATATGTTTCAATGCTGTTCTCTCAGATCATCTCACCCTCACCTTCTCCCACAGAGTCCAAAAGTCTGTTCTATACATCTGTGTCTCTTTTTCTGTCTTGCATATAGGGTTATCATTACCATCTTTCTAAATTCCATATATATGTGTTAGTATACTGTACTGGTGTTTATCCTCTGGCTTACTTCACTCTGTAAAATGGGCTCCAGTTTCATCCATCTCATTAGAACTGATTCAAATGAATTCTTTTTAACGTCTGAGTAATATTCCATGGTGTATATGTACCACAGCTTCCTTATCCATTCATCTGCTGATGGGCATCTAGGTTGCTTCCATGTCCTGGCTATTATAAACAGTGCTGTGATGAACATTGGGGTGCACGTGTCTCTTTCAGTTCTGGTTTCCTCGGTGTGTATGCCCAGAAGTGGGATTGCTGGGTCATATGGCAGTTCTATTTCCAGTTTTTAAAGAAATCTCCACACTGTTCTCCATAGCGGCTGTACTAGTTTGCATTCCCACCAACAGTGTAAGAGGGTTCCCTTTTCTCCACACCCTCTCCAGCATTTATTGCTTGTAGACTTTTGAATAGCAGCCAT